GGCCAGGCTGATGCTCAACAGATGGTAAAAGTACATCCCAATCACAATAATCAATAATCAAAGGCTGGCCGCTGGTGTGGCCTGGCCTGAGGGGCCCTTGGGGGCTTGGCTCTGCCCTCTTTCCCACACCCGCCTGAGTCTAGCCAGGAATCCATCTCACCCACCTCCCTGCACCAAGCTCCGGGAGAGCGAACAGGCGAGGGAGGAGCCATATTTCACATACTTTCTCTTTCAAAATGTAGCTCTGTTTCGCAATTTCCTACTTAAGTTCTGGAAGGCTCTAGGGTAGGACCCAAGCGACCTTCTCTAGCCACTGGCCTGGGTCTCTAATCCTTCTCACCACCGACCTGGCAGGCTGAAGGGGCCAGAGAAAGGGGGTCCCAGTTTCGTAGCTCTCCCACCATCCCCATCCGCGGCTGCTCGTCCAGGGTCTCTGTGATGCTGAAGGAGCCTCCACCAAGCCTCCAGCCAAAACCTGTTTATTCTTCACCCCATGTCAGTTCTTTCCCTTGGGAGAGCCAGGAGGTACACCACACCAAAGCAGGTGCACCCAGCTCTGGTATGCTCGGCCTCAGCAACCCTGGGGGCATCTAATCTTTAGATCTCCTCTACTCCCCTAGAACAAGGCTTTTGTTCCTGCTCACTTTTACTAGCCAGACAGTGCTCCAACCCCTTTGCAGTGAATCTCTTTAATCCTCCAAAATGGAACTTGCACTCTCTGGTTGCTTTTCCCCTTCCTTACCACTTTCACCGGGGTTTTCACCTGCTGTCCACTTAGTCTGGTCCGGACCACAGCTGGAGAAGTTGGGGCACAAAGGCATCACCTCAGTGACTGGCCCTGGGTCAAAGGCTTGAATGGGGCCCAGGAAGCTGACCCTTTTTCCTAAATTCTCTCTCATTCCTTCTAAACCAAACCAAACCAAACAAACCAGAGAGGGGAAAAACCACTTAAAAAAATAAATCCAGAAAACAACTCCATCACTCAAAATACTGAAGTGGAAAACAAATCCATTCTCTAGAGACTTGGTCTGAAACATACCAGAGCTGGCACTGGCTAAGGTGGCCAGAAATGTCTTAGTCGGGACAGATCTGCAACCCCGTCGAGACCCCATCGAGAGGCAAAGCTAACACTTCCCAAATGACAACGTGGGCACATAACAGCCACATACGAATCAGGTGCTGTGTTTGTCTAAACCCGGGAGTAGGGTTAGGAATCTCGCCAGGACTCCCTCTCTCCAGCACCTGCTCACTCTGAAACTCACCTGGTGTGACTTCTGGTCAATCTTTATGGTCTCCAGCCTCAGGTGTGTTGCTTCTGGGGCTGTGCGCAGGTAACTGAACCCCATCGTGAAACCCACACCCTGCCACCAGCTCAAAAAACCATTCTTAGTCTTGAAAGGTTAAGAAGAGACAGACAGGGGCGAGACAGGTCCAGGTGGGCTAACTTTTCAAGGAGGGACTAGAGTCCCACTGGGAAGCACCCAGCGCATTGGTGTCAGGAGACTTCCCTCCCACCAGTAATTCTGCAGGCATGGAAGCTCAGGACCCACAGAAGCCCACGTTATGTTCCCTTCCTTAGTGGCCTAGAGCTTCAGGAGCAACTTTAGGAGTCTCGAGGAGGTGATGCAGAGAAGCTGAATGCCTTAGAGTATCACCAAGGTGACACAGGAGATTCAGGAGGATTCGGATCATTCCCAGTTCTAAGATTCTGATTTTTGCTTTGATGTTGTTTTAAAGGAAAGCTTAAGGCAATGCTTCTCAAACACTTAATATGCATGTGAATGACTTGGGGATCTAAGGCAGATTCAGAGTCTTTAGGTCGAGGAGGGGAGTGAGATTTTGCACTCTTAGGCTCTGAGGTTGCTGATCTATGGCCACACTTTGAGTATTGAGGACCTAGGGGATCTGGGAGATTAGGACACGCCAGGGCCAGAGGCAGCCAAGACACAGAAGGGCTGAGGGTTGATGCCTAGAAGAGAGGCAGAAGAACAGAGAGACTAGAATCAGAGGCTGAGGCGGGAAAAGAGAAAGACACAGTGATGGAAAGAGGGACAGAGGAGGACAGAGTCAGAGAAACAGGGAGGGGCAGGGGTAGAGACCAAAACCGGAGATGAAGACAGATGACCAGAGAGATGACAAAGATAGCGCCAGGGTCAGGGAGAGGAGGCAGTGGGCAGCCGGATCCCCAGGCTGCAGCTCAGGCTCCAAATCCTGGCCTGCAGTGAGGGGGCTCTCTGGTACGGGTGGGAAGAGCCCCACAGAGGGTCAAGTGCACGCACCTGAGATCCCCCACCTTCCAAACCTCCATCCTTCCCTCACCTGCACCAGCCTCTCCAGGCTCCCGTCTAGCTGTCCCTCCGCTGGGAGCCTTCCACCACTGATTTCCCCTTTGTTCTCCTGTGGATCAACCTCTTTCTCTGAACTGGACACTTCCCAGTGGGTTTTAAATATTTTCAAGTCTTTCCCACCTTAAAAAAAAAAAGAAAAGAAAAGAAAAAAAGGACTCTCTCTACCTCCATCTCTCTTTCCAGCCCCTGTCAGGCTTTTCCCCTTTTCTCTGCTCAACTTCCCGAAGGAATTTTCTGTACTGATTTCTGCCCCCATGCCCGCTCTGAATGGCTCCTGCTGAGGTTACTATCGGCACACGTGTTATAAGTCCAACGGTCAATTTCCAGTTCTCGTTTACTTGGTCCCTCAGCACCTTAGGTCCTTGTGACCTCTCTACGGCTTGCGGACTCCCTGGCTCCCTTTCCTCTGCTCCTTCTCTGCCTTCTCGGCCGACTGATCCCCATTATCTGATCTTTGTACCTGGAAGCCCGCACAGCTGAGTCCCCAGCTCTCTTTTTATGCGACCTCTTCCAAACCCTCAATTACCTTCTCTACACCAGTTCATGCTCCAGCTCCGACATGCCCTGCGCACACTAGACCTGCATTTGTGTCTACACACCATCTACTCGCCGTGGTCACCAGGATGTTTCAAAGACACCTCGCACTTAACGTGATCAAAACCTTGTCCTCCCAATCTGGCCTTCCTGACCGGTTCCCCATCTCAGAACACTGAACCATCACCCTGGGGGTGTTCGAGCCAGAAATGGGGACTTTGTCCTTGACACCTCCTCTCCCTTTCTTCCCTCTTCCACATCCAGTTTATCACCAAACTCTGCCAACTTTATTCTCCAAATGCCTTGTCACTTTATCCACTTCTCTCCGTTTCCACCCTAGTCCGTGTTTCCGACACCTCTCACCTGTATGACAGCAATAGCCCCCCATGCAGCTTCCCTCCAGTCTGTCTTATACACTACAGCCACCAGGATCTTTGCCAAATACAAATCTGGTCATCTTGGCTGGCTGCTTAAAACCCTTTAGCAGCTTCCTCTGGCTCTGAGAATAAAGACCCAACCACAGGAGACCTTTCTAGAATCATCTTATCTCACTTGCCCTCCAGGCCTTCCAGCTATATTGGGCCTTCTTTCAGTTCCTTGAACACCATGCTCCTTTCTGCCACAGGACATTTGCATGTGCAATGCCGTCTATACAGAACTCTGCTGTCCAACACAGTAGCCACTAGCCACGTGTAGCTAGCGAGCACTTGAAACACAGCTGGTACAACCAAAGAACTGAATCGTTAATATTACCTAATTTTAATTATTAAATTAAAAATTTAAAACATAGTCAATTCAATCTTTGGAAAACTGTTAACTATTCCTGAAGCAGGAATTCAGGATGTGAGTCTACTTTTCAATTTTTATGAAATCTAAATACAAGTCAAGTATTTCTGGTGAAAATTTATAGTGTCCAAATTAAGGTATGCTGTGAGGTGTAAAAATACAGAGAATTGTTGAAGACTTAGTTTGAAAAAAAAAAAGAATGTAAAAGATGTTGTTAATAATTTTTATATTGATTACGTTAAAAAGATAGCATTTTAGCATATATTTGGTGTAATAAAAGCTATAATTAAAATTAACTTCACCTGTTGCTTTTTACTCGTTAAATGTGGCTACTAGAAAAATTTTAAATTACATAAGTGGCTCGTCTGGTATTTCTAGCAGACAGCACTGGTCTAGAATACCATTCCTTCTCTTTGTCTTAACTCCTACTCATCCTTCAGAGCTTGGCTCAAATACCACCTCCTCTGAAAAGCTTCCCTGAGATAAAGTCTTATTTTTATTCACTTTTATTCACTTTCATAGCTCTGTGTATGTGCCAGTGGTTGCCTGGCCTTAACCCCACCCATTTGTAATTACACATTTATTGGAATGATCCCTTGGTTCATGCCTGTCACCCCTATCAACTTCTTATTCCAGGAGAGCAAGGCCCATGCCTGGCTCCCCCAAGAAACCCCTCAGTCCAGGGCCTGGCGCGCGTATGGTTGCCAGTGGACACTTCAGATGCCACAGGAGGTCATGCTGTCCGCTGTCCTGCCTTTGGATCCAACGGTCCCCAACCGTCCCAGAGAGCCTGAGCACCCCCTCCCCCTAGGGTGCCCCTATAGTGTTCTAGGATTCAGATTCTACCGCTCCCAGTTGGGAAGTCTTCCTTTATAGTGGACCAGAATCCCTCTTGTGGCAAGCTGGCCAGGACCTTTGTTCTATCCGTAGAGGTGATCGGAGCAGAGCTTCTTAAACTTGAATGTGCATGCCCGTCACCCGGGACCTCGTTATAATGCAGACTCTGGTTCATCAGGTCTGGGATGGGACCTGAGACTCTCCCTTCTAACAAGCTGCCCGGTGAGAACATGGATGCTGGTCCACAGACCACACTCTGAGTAACAAGGCTGTAGAGAAGCTGGGTATCACCCTCAGAGTATCCTCGAAGTTTTTTTCCTGCCCTGGACCCTCTGTCCAGGAGGCCACTGGGGGGGAGTCTCTCAAAATTCAGCCCTGTCCCGTCTTGCTCCCACATACCCCACGAATTCCTGCACCCTGTGAAGGAATGTGATGCCCGTGGCTACCGTTGTCATTTGGTTTTGTTTTTAATTTGAAATAAACCTGTAAGCAGTTTTCAGAGTCGGGGCAGCCCTGATACGGATCATGGGTGTGAAACAATACTCTCCAATGATAAAGTCACACAGCTGGAAATGCTGAACAGTCCTCAAGCTTTGGTTCCTGTCTGCCACACTGGGCAGATCCTATCGGCTCCTCCAGAAGGCTCCACTCTGTTTGGGCTTGGACGCTGGGAAAGGGTCCCTCTGACATATCCCTTAGGAGCATCTCAAACCAAGTCTGTTCCACTGGGCCCTCTGCCAGGCAAAGGTGACCCCTCCACCTCCCCACCCTGTTCATGCGGTGATGTCCGAGAGAGAAGTGTCTTCCAATGGCCTTGATTGTGTGTGTGTGTGTGTGTGTGTGTGCGCGCGCGCATGTATGTTGGTTGCATGTTTGGACATGAGCCCTGTGTGTGTGTCTGTGTGTCCATATATGTATGGAGAGTGTGTGCACACTTTGCCCCCAGCGCTCCAGTTCGGTAAAGCTTCCATCACACAGAGCAGCGCTGGACTCTTTCTGTGAGGGCCTGGAGGTGACGAATGTCCCTAGGTGGGCCCCGCAGGCGTGACCGGCCCCACTGTCCCTTGGTGCTGCGGCTGTTGCTGGCCCTTGCGTCTCCGAGCGCCGGCACCCACCTCCTTGCTCTCCTTCCTGCTCAGGTTCCTGTTGGCGTTCTCCCCCCGGCCCCCTTTCCTCCTCTTCTGTCCTGCAATCCCAACAGCAGGAAGAGTCAACAAAGGATGTCCTGCAGCAAGTAAGGAGGCCCCAGGCATGGCCCAGGGCTCTAGGAGGGGAGTGGGGAGGAAGCTGGGCGGGGGGGGGGTTGAAGTCACTGCCTTTTGGCAGTGGGGATCCCCCTCAAAGCCTCTTCTGACTACCGGCCACTTCAGGGGACCCTGCAACATGGGTATGGAGACGGGGGTCCCAGGAGCCTTTCGCCCCCCCATCCCTCGGTGAACCAGACACCCTCCTCTTCCTTGTGTTTCCTCAGATCTTGGACCCCAACGGGCTAAGATGTTTGGCACAGCACTCAGGACAAGCAGGACAGCGCCCAGCTCCTCTGCCCCACTCCACTGCCTCTGGGGGTAGCTGCTGCATCATTGCCAACTACAGGCTATGTGTCCTTGGTCACATCACTACACCTCCCTGGGTCTTAGCACCCCCCTCTGCAGCCCCATCTGACCTCTGAGGGTCCTTCCAATGCCAACCTCTGCCGGTTCAGAGGAAATGGGGCAATTGGAGGACACAGACACTAAAGCTTCCAACTCCCACCACACAGTTCTGGGGACTGCTCTCTGCCAACACCCAGCACTGGTTTCCCCAGCATGGCATCTTGAGTTGGGGATTCCCATCTGGCCCTGGCCTGCGGCCCTTTCCCCAGGCAGAAGTGGTCAGACCTCCATGGCTGTCCCTGACTCCCAGCCCCGGGGAGGCAGAGGCCGCAGCTCACCCTCGGGACAGGGCATCCTCCGCACTGTGCACCTGCGGGTCTCCTTGGTGTCGGAGCAGACGGCGTGGTCCCCACCAGGGGCATGGAGCACCCTTCGAGTCCGCTCCTCGGAGCCCCTCCGGAAGCCACAGAGCCTCTTCTTCTTGGAGCATTGCCCCCACAAGGACCACTCGCTCATTTCACATTGTGCTGGCGGGAAGGGAGGGAAGAGGGGGAGAAAGAAGGGGAGGAGGGGGTCACCCCTGGGTACCCCAGAATGCCCCAGGGGAGCCCTTCCCACCCGCTCTCTGCCTGAGCCTGAGGCTGGAGGCATCTTCAGTCCAGAGGGCAGAAAAGCCCTGGGACGAACCCCACAGGGTGGTCGGGGGAGGGGGTGCGGGTGGGAGGTAAGCAGGCTCTCCCTGTCCCTCCCCTGCCTCCACCCCCCAGCCCCCCCACAAACTCACCAGGACTGCTGCACTCCATGGTGCCGTTGGCGGCCGCTGAGCCCTCGGGACAGGCCGGATAGCAGCGGCCCTTGTGCAGGTACAAGTTCTCCTTACACTTGGTGCAGAAGTTGTGGCTGAAGCAGGCCTCACAGTGCTCAATCTTGCACTCTGAGGAGAGGGCCAGATTGGGGGCCTCTGGCTCATCCCCTGTTCCCAAAGTCCCCCACCTGAGGGCACCTCCCCCCAAGGGCAGGACCCTGGCCTGGACCTGCCATGACCACGGGAGAGTCCTGGGAGGGAGGGAAGGCAAGGACAGGGTGGGCAGAGGAAGCCAAAGTGGCCACTCTTTGGGGCTGGCGGGGCCGGTCAGCTAGCACCACCCCAAACCCAATCCCAGGCCCTGGAACCAAGGTGAGGCCCAAGCGAGCTGGTTTCAGAGGAGGAGGGCGGGACCCTCTGGGGTTCGTGGGCAGTGAGAGAGAAGGGTCCCGGCATGTCATGGCACCCCAGAGGGCCACCTAATCAGAGTTGAACTGAGGGATGCAATGACCCCCGCTCATGGCTGTGTGGTTTCCTCTCCCCATTGCTGGGTGTCCACAACACCCCAAACCCTGGTTCCCCTCCTGCCCTGAGAAAAAAATCTGCTTGGAGCGGGGAGGAGAGATCCCAGGGCAAATTCCTCTCCCTCTGCAAGGCCCAGTTCCAGGAATGACCTTGGTTGGACTCCTGGGTCCCTCCCTGATCCCCTCCGGCCATCTCTCCCTCCTCTGGGGAAGTTGGGGGAGGGAGGGTCCCAGGGCCCCAGCTGGGAGCAGGCAGAGTCTTTCACAACCTCTCCCTTCCCAGACCGTGGGCAGGGCTGACTTCCTCCCAGTCTCTGGCACCTGAGGCTTGGGCTGCCAGTTTCACAGGAGCTGACACAGCCAGGAATTCCTACCCCAAATACCCTGAGGACCAAGAGGGCAGCCCCAGGGTCCCCCTTCTATCCTCAAAAGCTTCCCACCCTACCGCACCAGACCCCTCCTCTGTGCCTCCTGGGCTCCGTGGCTTCTTCGTCTCGCCCCCTCCCTCCTCTCTTGCTCAGGGCCCTGGGTCTGGTTGCAGGTGACATACGGTAAGGACAGCCACTACCGTGTGTGGTGAGCCAGACACTAAGGGCTTTCCATATGCCCCTGGCGACAGCCCTAGGGGGTGAAAACTAGCACTCTCATCTTAGAGATGAGGTTTTGAGAGGCTGCAACACACCTGAAGTTATCCAACGAGAAAGAAGCAGAGTAGAGATTAGAACCCAAGGCCGATCTCGGGTCAGCCATTTCCCCTGCCAGCCTCACTGTTGTCAGCCCCCCAAAAGCGCTCCTGTCACTTAGGTCCCATCTCCCTCCAAAGGCTGTTGTGAGACTCAGCTGATACGTGATCTGGAAATGCGTTCTAATCTCCAAGGCTCTGAGCAAACGGGAGGGGCACCGGCATTGTTCACCGGAGTAGGTTCCTGCCTGTCCCCTAGTAGGTCACAGTGAGCCTGAACAGAGGTGGGACAGCACGTGCCTTAGAGCACGTGGAACTGCAGCTGCTGTGGGAGAGCCAAGCCCAGCCAGCAAGAAGACCTGGGCACAGGAGTGGGGGCGGGGAGTGGACAGGCTGACAGGGGCTCGGATTTCCCTGCAGTCCGTGGAGCTGGGCTGGTTTTCAAGCAGAAGTGTGATGGGACAGGACACATGTTTCAGAAGCATCTTTCTGGCTGCAGCGTGGAGGGAGGGCTCAAGGGAACCGGATGAGTGCTGGAGGACAGAGAAGCAGGCTACTGCGATGGTCCAGGAGAGACTATAGCCGTGAGGATGGAAAGGAAAGGCAGCAGGCACGGTTTGGTCATTAGATGGATGGGAGAGGACATGAATGACAGGCTGGCTCTCAGGTCGATGACATGAGTGGCCCAGGACACCGCCGGAGTGCAGGTTTAGAGGAGGGAGATACGGTTCTGATATGGACTCGTGGAGCTGGAAAGGTGGATGGACTCTCTGAGATGTGGGGCTGGCAGCTGGATACTTGAATCAGGAGCCTCATCTCCCCTCCTCTGTGTCCCCTCTACTCCTCTTCCCTGCCCCCAACAATTCAAAGCACCCTCCCCCAGTGTCCAGAGCCTTCTCCAGCCTTCCCCACACTCACTGATGCACTTGTTCATGTCGGGGTTGCGGGCATCGAAGTATCCAGGTGGGCAGGAAGGCAAGCAGACGCCCACCTGGCGAATGTCGTTCCTCTCCAGCAGGATGAACAGCTTGGGCGAGCACTTGAGGCAGCCGTTGACCTCAGAGCAGAGCTCACAACCTTTGGCACAGGCCTGGCTCCCCTCTGCACTGACTGAAAGGGTAGAACAGGGGTAAGAAGGCGGCTGTAGGAGAAACCTCCCTCTTTCTCAGGCTCCCACAAGGGTGGGAAGTGAGGAGACTGGAGTTTCTTCGTACACAACGAATGTGCTGTTCAGAAAGTACAGGCCAGGATGACAGCTCCTCAAAAAGCTGCTTGACAAACCTCCCAGCATCATCTCCCAGGAGAATTGGCACAGATGCCCGAAGCAAGAGCCCCCCCCGCCAGATGTCTCCCCAGCTCCAGGCACAACATGGGCTCACTCTCCAGGCTGCCTCTGCCATTTCCCAAGGAGCTACTGAAGCTGCACTTTTCCTGGAACCTACTCTGTCCCTCCCCAGAGGAAGAAAAGCTCAGCCTCTGGTGTGGAAGGAGGGGATTTTTTATCCATGAGAAAGTTTTAAGGTCAAGAAGGACAACAGGTTAAACTGTCTGAGAAAAAGATCGTCTGCTCAGAGACAGGAAAACAACTGGAATAGCTTAGGTCTGGAACAGTGGTCTCAACCAGACACGATTTTGCTCCCCAGGGGGTATTTGGCAAAGTCTAGAGACATATCTGATTGTCACACTGGGGAGGGGGTTGTTGCTGGCATCTAGGGGAGACAGGCCGGGGATGCTGCTAAACATCCTACAATGCATGGGGTGGGGGTGGGGCCACAACAAGTTGTCTGGCTCAAAATGTCAATGATGCTGAGGTTGGGAAACACTGGCCATCTTTTGAGGCAGTGTGATCTCCAGCCCTAGCACGGGGTCTCAACCCTTTGATGCCACTTGTTTAACCAATACTCCCCGCGCCCCTCCCAAGTACCCTGTGCCAGGTGAGTGCTAGGGACATGGAGGGAGGCTCGCCTGACCACTCCAAACTGATCTTTCAGTGGTGACAGACCTGCAAACAGGCAAATGCTGACAGCCGCAAGGCCTAGCAATAGTGAACCCAAAAAGAAGAGAGGGGAAGGAGTCATGAAGAAGGTGACCTTTGGGCCAACTCTTGAAGAATTAGTAGAGATTTGTCCATCACAAAGTAGAGATGAGGGTCCTTCTAGGAGCAGGCCCACAGAGGTAGAAAAGAACCCAAAGGGAACTGCAGGTGATTTGGGGTGCAGCAGGGGTGGGGAGGGGAATGGTGAAAGGCAATCATGCTAAGGAACCTGAACTTGATCCTGCCAGGCAGCATTTCCCAAAGAGCATTCCTGGAACACACTTTCCCCTAGATGTTCATCAGAGGCTGTGGAGGAAAGGCCACTACGTCAGGGAAGACAGAACCACTGGGTCCGACCGGTCTAAATAGGATTCTTTACCGCAGGGCTTCTTCAACCCTTATTACACTCCTGTGCAAACTGACTCCCTAAAAGGGGGACAGAGGAAGTTTTATTTCCCAAATATTTTGGCCAAAGAACCCTTGTTTTGCAGCGTTTTTCTTGGGAACGTTCTGACTACTGGCTATTTTTATTTATTTATTTATTTTATGAATACTTTTTAGATAGTTGAAAGCTATCGGCCAAGGTGTGGGAGCTGGGCTCATTTACACGTTGGAAGGTTCCTCTGGCAGCCTGGATGGAGCCCAGAGACTGAAGGACCATTTGGAAGGAAGCTGACCAGATCATCCAGGTGAGAAAGATGAGAAACATCTTAAACAAAATTCTGCTCAGCTGGAGATGGACAGAAGAAGATTTAAGAGAAACTGGCAAAGGAGACCAACAGGAGGGAGGAGCCTGGGGTGAGTGCTAGGGTAGGTGGTGGAACAGTGGGGCCGGTCACTAAACAAGGTCCATCCCACGGGAAGAGAAGCAAGTGGAGAAGGTAACACAAAGAGAGGTTTATGAGCCACTTAGGAGCAAGCATGAAGCAAGGAGCTGGAGATGCAGGCTGGGAGCAGAGCGCCAGGGGGGATCAGAACAGATAGCAGGAGATCACGCAGCATAGTGGACCCCGGGCTCAGGCTGGACCTGTGCCCCGGGGCAAAACACAGTGTCTCGTGTGCCTCCTTTCCCACCACTGGAAACGGACGTGAGGATGTCCTCTCTGGCGGGCCCTGGGAGAAGCACCTGCTGCAGGAGTGATCCCTGATTTCAGAACAGGAATGAGCAAGAGTTAAGAAGGTGAGCAGAAGGGGAAGGGTCAGGAACAAACAGCCATATAACGACCACCAGGACCATAGTAGTGGCTGCTAACTCCTAAATGTGGTGCGCTTACTCTGTTCTCAGGGCTCCTCACGCATTCACTTACTTAATCCTTACAATCCACGAAGCAGGCGCGATTGTTAGTTTGTAAACCTCGTTTTTACAGAGGAGGACGTGGAGAAGTTAAATGACTTGAACGAGGCATTCCAGCCAGCATGTATGCCAGGCAGAGGGAACAAAGTTTAGGAAGGCCAAGGGCAGGACCACACGAGGTGATGTGGAGGCCAGAAGTACAGGTAGACTGATTTTTTTTTTAATATAGAATTGATTTGTATAGAGCCAATGTTAATTAATCAATACATTTAAGAATTAATGTTGTTCTTGGTTTAGTTCTTCTAAGAACAAAAATACTCAAATGTTGTATTTGACGTTATGAGGGAGCCCTTGGGTTTAATTTTCCACTTTGGGCCCTTATTTGGCTGTATTACAAATTAATAAGTTACTGTAGATTTTAGGTACTGCTTCTACTTCAAAGCTACTATATCCTCTATTATTCAAGGTTTTTACTGAATTCATTGTTCAAATGAATGCTCCCAAATAAAAATTTAAAAAATCTTTTATTTTTTTTTTTTTAAAGTGGGGCACCTGGGTGGCTCAGTCGTTAAGCGTCTGCCTTCGGCTCAGGTCATGATCCCAGGGTCCTGGGATCGAGCCCCGCATCGGGCTCCCTGCTCAGCGGGAAGCCTGCTTCTCCCTCTCCCACTCCGCCTGCTTGTGTTCCTGCTCTCGCTATCTCTCTCTCTGTCAAATAAATAAAAATGTTTAAAAAAATCTTAAAAAAAAAAAGAAAGAAATGAATGTTCCCTCTATTCTTGCCTTGGTTTCAATAACTGAACTGATCCCGGCATCCCATTTGCCAGCCAGATAGCTATGTTCCCATGCTTATGGATTCCATCCTTGTCACTTTTATTAAGGACAGATTTGCAAAAGGCCTTCTCAGAATCCTGCTGCCCACCTCCCATTCAACCAACAACTCATCTCTGTGTGCATTTCTCTTCAGATCTCTCAGTGACAAAGCAAGAGAAAGCGCGGAGCACTAGGGGTCTGAAACCAACATGGGGGGGGAGCATGGAGGGAGTGGTTAAACGTGAAGCTGGAGAGGGAGGCAGACCAAGATGAGGAAGGGTCTTGACTCTGTACAAAGGAGTTTGGACATTGTGAAGGCAGTGAAGAATTACTGGGGGCTTTAAAATCAGAGACATGGGGCGCCTGGGTGGCTCAGTTGGTTAAGCGACTGCCTTCGGCTCAGGTCATGATCCTGGAGTCCCTGGATTGAGTCCCGCGTTGGGCTCCCTGCTCGGCAGGGAGTCTGCTTCTCCCTCTGACCCTCCTCCCTCTCACGCTCTCTGTCTCTCATTCTCTCTCTCTCAAAAAATAAATTAAAAAAAATAATAATAAAAAAAATAAAATCAGAGACATGGTCAGGATCACTCTGTGATATGGAGAATGGGTTGCAGGGATGGCAAGTCTGAAGGCAAGAAGACGCCTCAAGCTCGAAGAGACAGGGCTGAACTGAGAAGTTGCAGAGTTTACACAGGTGAGATACTCAGGTGGGAGAATCAATAAAACCAGGTGGTAGGCTGGACCTGAGACTGAGGGCTGGGGAATGAGCAAGCTGAGGGTGACTCCAAGGTGTTGGGCTTGTTTGACAGGGTGGCCCTTGGCCCTTCACCGAAAGGGGACCACAGGAGGAGCAGGTTTGGGTGGAGGAATGATGAGTAGTCAGGTTTTAGATGTGTTGAGGTTGTGGCTCCTGTGGGACATCTAGGGGAAGGTGTCTATTAGGCAGTTGAACCTGTGGGTCTGGAACTCAAGAGAAACATTTTGCCTGGAGACTGCAATGGGGAGTCCTTAACATGAAAACAGTCATAAAGGCATGGGGGTCCATGAGACAGAAAGGACAGTGGGTCGAGAGAGTGAGCAAAGGAACCAGGAATTTAAGGGAAGGGCAGAAAAAAGAAAGGCCACTCAAAAGCACAGTGAATATGAAAGCCAAGAGCAGAGAGCACTGGGCAGGGCAGAGAGGGGTCGCCATGCCAATGCTGCTGAGGTGTCAGGCAAGGAGGCAGCAATAGCACCCCTGATGGGGGCAGAGGGCAGTGGTCGAGGAGTAGAGGAAGGAGAGCCATCTCATTCAAGAAATCAGCTATGGAGCAGGGGAGAGAACCCAGGGATCCATCTGTGGAAACCATGGTCATCAGTGGTTAAATCATGTGAGTGGGAGTCATCCTGAGGCAGAGGCTGAGCAGTGGGTCAACACCCACTCAACAGGTCAGCAAGGAGGAGGGGCTCAGAGAGAATCTGAGAAGGAATCCTGGGGTGGGGGGGTCGCTGAGGGAGAGTGGGCACAGGAACCAAGTTGCAAAGGGGGAGATGTGCAGGGACAGCTGGGGGGAGACCACGGCTGGCACGGGGAGGTGACCGACTGGCTGACCCCAAGAGGAGCAGTTCTGGTGGAGTGGGGGATGGGAAGTGAGTGGGAGGGGTGGAGGTGGAGGTAAAGGGAGGAGAGGGCCAGAGAGAATCGGAGAACATAGGAACAGAGAGGGGAGAGCAGCTGGGAGCAGGGGCTGTGATCATGAGCCTCTGAGACTCCGAGGCTGGGTGAACTGATGGAGTGAAGACCCAAGGATACAGGAGAGTCGCAGTGCAGAGCTCAGGTGGTAAGACTGGCCTTGGGGCTTGAGAAAGGGACAAAGGGAATTGAGTTCTATGAAGTTTGGGGGCTCAGGAAGAGGAAGGAGAGCTTATCAAGGAGAAGAGGGGTTCAGTGATGGGCAGGGGTCAGTTCAATGAGGAAAGGGATGCTGGTCAAGAAGGATAGGAACCCAAGGGTGTTCTCAGCTTAGTGATACAGATGCATGGGCAGTGCGGTGCTAGACAGCCACAGGGAGGGAGCTCTGTGTGTGGGAAATGGAGACCAAGGAAGATGGTGGGCATTGGGGGGTGCATAATGATTCAAAGGGAAAAACTGACGCTCATTCATTCCATAGACATTTACTGCACACCTAACACTTTCCCAGAAGTGCTAGGAGCTGGGGACCTAGAGCTAGAGCTGAGGTATAAACAAAGGCCCACCCAGGGATGCGGAAAGCAGGACTGGCTCACACCATGTAAGTGGATGAGTAATGGAAGGCACTCCCTTACCCAGCCGGCGAGGTGAAGAGGGTGTGCCACACAGGAGGAACAGCCTGTGCAAAGGCTCTGGGGCACTGAACATCCTAGTGCATTCACAGAATGGAAAATAGGGCTTTATGCTACTGGCAGGGAAGGGGACCTCAGAAGGGCATGGCCAGATTCACCACATGCAAGGTTCCTATGCCTGTGATGGAGGGAGGTGCGCAGGGGAGGCAGCCTTGTAGGGCTGTAACCTCGCTGTGGAGGCTGGGTGGGCTGGGTGAAGTGGAGGGCCCTCGGAGAGGTCCTGGAGCCTGCTTCCCAACCTCTTCACAAAACCCGCTCACACAGCTCTGCTCCACCTCCCCCAAGGCCTCAATGTAGCCCACTTCGCCAGACCAGGAAGGCAAGGCTGTGCTCCCCTCCATTCCCCTGGGGCTTCTTAGGCTCCTTCATCCATTCTTGTGTAAAACGCTTGCAAATTGATGTTCCTAAAACCAAAACACCCCTGCCTAGAGTCCATCCATGCCTCCCTATCACCAGCAGAATTGAGACCCAACTGGTCTTATTAACTTCTCCACCTGGCCTAAAAAGCTTCCATGAGCTGATCCTATCCGCCTCATCTCTCAACACTACCCCTCAGCTATATAGAACTATTTTTGTTTGTCTGGACACATCACGCTATTGCACACCTCTGTGCCTTTGCTCAAGTTGGTCCTTCTGCCCGGAACATTCTCTGCCACCTCCTGAGCCTGACGAACTCCTCAGAACTAATGTCACCTCCTCCAGGAAGTCTACCCTGATCTCACTTCCCCACAAAGTCTGGATGGGGTCAGATGGGGGAGTCGGGCTTCAGTGAAGGAATGAGGGCTTCATGGGGGCAGGACTTGAGTAAGGGGCCCAGGAATCACATAGGAGAAGGGTCTCAGTAAGGGGAAGGAGTACTCAATGCAAGGAGTAGTGAATAAAGGTGGGCACCCTGAGGAGCAGGAAATCCCAGGCAGGAAAACATTCAGGAGAGCAGGTGAGGGCCAGCGAGGAGACAAGAGGCTGAGTGAGTGAAGAGGGGGCTCGGGGAGGGGATGGGTCCTCAGTGAATGGGAGAGGAGGAAGTCGTTCCGCCAGGGTTCCTAACTCACAGCTAAAGAGTGCTTTGCTCAATTTCACCCCCTCCGTGCAGGGAGACCATCACCCAGGCCTGAGATCAGCCATTTCTGGACTCAAAACTGGTGTATGCCTCGTGATCAGAGTTCTATCTGGTGTCTTCTGACAGTCCTACCGACTTGCAGTTCCAGATGGCAGACAGAGTGGACAGACCTGACGCTCATCTGCACAGCCAGCCTACCTCCGCATGCTAGCTCCCCACTGCCCCCTGCCCCCCACCCCGTGGCTGCAAGGTCTGAGGAGCCACACACCGCATCATGGGCCTCCTTCTTCCCTCCCCACTCCCTGGAAACCCTAGGGCCACATGGTTCATATAACAATGACATGCATCCCGAAGTCTAGACAGAGCTTGATATTTTATAAAGGGTTCCCAACCAATTTATACACAGAAATAAAATCTCCCATAGGCTTTAATATATCCCTTTACAATGACCCTGGCAGCTTTATGGTTTCTATTCAACAAGCATCATCCAGCAACATCTACCCTCATCCCTCTCTGGGTCCTCACTGCACCCCGAGTCTTTCCCCACCCTCACATGTCACTATCAGGGACGTTTTTCACTCACACCACTTGGTAATAAGAACAGGGTTCCCACTGCCGGGGCTGTGACCGGGGGCTGCCTCATAAGTGGACCCGTCAAACTGCTGCCGTCGCCTGGCTGTTGAGGGGACCGGGTCTTTCCGATGCTCAGGCCAGTCCTCTGTTGTTGCTGTTTTCAGTACAACAGACTTGAACCCCGATCTTCGACCCCTGGCTTAGGGAGGGGGGTGTGTGGCTCTGCCTGTGAGTGGAAGTGTGACCGCTAGTGTGCGTAGCACGAGCATGAGTGGCCCCTCTCGTTCGGTCGCGTGCTCTCTCTCTCTCTCTCCTCTTGGAAACAGAGGAGACTGCTTACAGACCACTAAACTGCATCGGGCCCGTGGAGTCCAAAATACCGGCCGCAACAGATGAGCAGGGAGGAAAATCAAGGCCTCGCTGCTGATTAAACCTAACCGTCTCTAATTGTGTGTTAAGCCAGGGATTTTCAGCTTCACCAATTCTCTGAGCTTCTCTCCCTGGGCTGGGTTCTGGCCTTGGCCCTGTCGGTCAAGACCCAACAAAACTCCGCTGCCTTTTGACCTTTCCGGGTGGGCCTCAGTCTGAAGGCCTCAGAGTGAAGCAAGAGGTGCTCGTGCTGCACGTCAGAGGAGCGTGACATCCCTGATGGGGGACGCTGAAAGGGAGAGAGGCCTTGGGATCTGTACCAGAGGCCCCCTCCCACTCCCTAGCCCCGGAGTGGCCACTCCCATCCGTACTGGGCAGGTACGGATCCCCCATCCCCATCACAGGAGCCTGGCTGAGGCCCCAGGGCTCTCAGGGCTGCCTGGGATGGGATTCTGTGGGGACAGGTTAATCGTGAGCACCATCAAGGTCGTTTTTAGGAAGACGGGACTCACGGGAATTGGGTTCCAGTATCGACAGGGTGTCCTTAGGCCTATCTGTACAATAAGAGAATTTTTTTTTTTTAAACTGTGAGAACCCCTCCTTCCAGTGACATCTCACATGAAATCTTGCTGAAAACAGGAAAGAGTGAGGCACTCTGGTTGGATGGGCAGTGGGGCCAGACTCCTTCCCACTGCCTCCCCTTCTGCCCCCAGCACAGTTCCCTGAATCCTACCGCGCAGTTAAAAACCACAGGAGTGGACAGTCTCACGAGCCTCCCTACTCTGCTGTCTCTGCCCCCGTGATCTTGGCAGGGAAAGCTATTGCCCAAGCTTTCCCCAAGGGGTTACCGGGGGCTGCACTTCAGCCAAGACCCAAAGAAAAGAGCCGTGAACTCCTATCCGTGAGGAGGGGGCCAAACACCCTGGGGCTGGGGCCACAGCAGCAGGGGGACACATCTCCATGGATACCACACAAAGCTGGTGTTATGTCAAAGGGCATAATCCACACACTGGATCCTCACAAGAGAGGGGTTAATCTAGAAAGCAGAGTCTACAAAGGGGAAAATAGACAAAGTGGGTAATCTACAGAGTGGGTAATCTCAACCAATTAATCCACACACCGGATAATCCACAAACAGGATCATCTATTGAGTAATCTACGCAGTTGTAATAGACAAAGTAGAATCTGCAATGGTCATCACAGAATGAAACCACCGATGACCCTCTAGTCCCCAGGCGGCCCCCTCCCGCTCCCAAGGCCAGGGGTGGTCCAGCCCCGCTCCATTACTCACTCCGCCTCTGCCTCTTCCCCTTGATCCCCCGGCTGCCGGCAGCGAGATGCATCCAGCTCAGAACCAGGGCCACCACACACAGCCCAAGCCGCATAGTCACTTGCCAGCTCCAGGCCCCTGGTAGGAGGGGTGGTCTCTGGGGGGGTGGACAACACAGGGCTCTTGCTAATGCCTGCGGGGCTGGGTCAGCAGCACGAGGCCCAGGCCTGGGCCGTATCCCAAATCCACCATAATCTTAGTTGGGGACAGAGAGGGTGTGGGGAGCCCACTTCTTCATCAGCCCATTGGGAGGTCCAGAGAGCTTTCCCCAAAGGCACCTCAGGGTGTGTCACATGGGAGAACTCTTTGTCACTTCAGCAGGGACACCTCCAAAAACCAACCTGTTGGGGGAGAAGAAAGAAAGGTTAATTCTGGGGAACCATGGGGTTCCCCCAACTTATGCCTCCTACCCTCCCATGTGGTCCCCTGCCCTGAAGACTGTGAGGAACTCAGCATGGTTGAATATGACAAGTTACCCACCTGGCCCCCCTGTAGAAGAAATCTGCTCCTTTTCCTAGGAATTTTGCAGAATCCCCTAACCTGGGACTAGAGCCGGCTACCCACACAGCTGGAATATGGTAGACACTCACATCCAATCTGTGGATCCCTGGAAACCAGCTGGCCCCACCCCTGCCCAATATTGGCCAGCTCTAATTGGAAGTGCTTCTTTAGATCTACCCTCCAGACCTCATGCTGCAGTAATAGCCTGTGTCTTGAAGAGGAGCTCTCTCTGCCCTTCTGTGAGTGACCCCTCAGCCCTCTCTTCCCTGTGCTGAGTCACCCCTGTGCCTTTCACCTGTGAAACTAGAGCAGTGGCCCCCGACAAGCTGGCAGACTCTGCGTGGCCCTCTGGGCTTGGCGGGAGAAAAGGAAGTAAGGCTTCCCCCGGCCACAGAAACTCTGACACAGCAGGCCCTGCGGGCCTGGCCTTTGTGCGAGGATAAAAGAGGCAGTGATGCCCGCCCTGGCCAGAGACACAGAGAATGGGGATAATCCCCCGGCCCAGCGAGAGCCAGGTCTCTGGACCCGATGGCCGGGTGATGGGGGCAGGGGGAGCCGGTCCCTCCCCAGTGCAATGTGTCTGGAGCCCGACCTGGGAGTCCGGGCCCCGAACACCGCACTGCACACTCGGGATCACACACTCCCGCACATTCTCCCAGCCGAGGCCTGCTCGAAAGCGTGGCCCCGCACACTTGGCTGCAGACCCACCCACGCTTGCCCAGGGACAGGAGGAACCAGCCAGCCTTCAGGAAGCTTTGAAGATGCCAGGGAAGCATCGCCATCCCACCCACTAGCTAGATGCCTCTGGACAAGTCACTCAGCCGCTCGGAACGTCAGTTTCTTCATCTATAAAATGGGGATAAAGATGCCGGTTTCACAGGCTTGCTCTCAGAGTTGGCTGAGTTTTGGCTTAGTAAGGAGAAATCTGAAATGCTGGAGTGGCAGTGCCCCTCCCACCCTGTCCCAACCCCTTTCCCCTTGGCCTCTGGGGGAGGCCCCAGGGAGCCCACCTGCATGGGAGATAAATCATTATCCCTCAAGGGAGTTCAGCACTTCCCTCCTCGGCCTCTCCCACCAGCTTTGAAGGCCAGTCACACTCAAGTGGTTAAGCTGCCCCTGTGAGAAGTGTTTACACGAGGCTGACGGGTCCCACCTGGCTCTGCAGCCAGAGCTGAGCCGGGGTGGGGACGCCCCCAGCCACCCCCAAACACCAGCCTCTGCATGCCCCTCCAGTACTCCCTGCATGAGCTGCGGGAGCCTTCCTCCTCCCCAGCGCCCACCACACACTTCCCTCACCTGCAAATTGTGGTGGGTTGGTCTTCCAGCTGAGTTTATCAAACTGGGGTCTTTAGCCAGAGGCTGGCTGTAGAGCATGATGGTTAAGGGAGGAAGCAGAGTGCTTGGCTTTCAATGTGGGCAATGCTATGTATTAGCTGTTACCGCAGGCTAGTTGCTTAGCTGGTCCGAGCCTCGGTTTCCTTATCTGCGGGCGGGTGGTGGTTTTTTATACTTTAAATGAGCTAATACATGAAACTGCTTAGAATGGCACCTGGCACATCGGGAGGACTCACTAATAATTGTATTTTCTATGACCAAGAAGACACAATTCTGTGTCTACATGCCAATGGTCATCTAAAAAGCAACACAGGTGTTTTGCTTTGCTTTGGTATCATCTGGATACGGACCTTAATACTGAGCACTGTTATGCAATTTCCATATTTGCATTTACCCCAGTGTGATCACTCACTATCGCAGGGTTAACATTTAATCGAGGCATTTGTGAAACTGAGGTCTGAGGACTCCTGGCAGATACACTCTCAGGGCGCCATAAGTCCTGACACTGGACAAACACTGGAGGAGAAGGCCGCATCAGACAAACCTGGTGTTAAATCCGGGGACTCTGAGAATTTGGTCTCACGGTGTGATCAGTATCAATGGGATCCTAGGGGCAGAAAAGATCTTTGCCTCTCCTGTGCCTGCCCGGCTCGGTGCCTGGCACACCAGGCTGGGCGCTCAACAAATTGTCAGCTCCCTTCCTCGCCCTCCCTCTACTTCACCTCTATCCCCCTCAATCCTCCTCCGTCTTAGCATTCAGCCTTCCTTTTGCCATGCTTATCCGGTCCTTGCCCGTGAAGATCTTCTGGCCCACTCCCACGTGAATCACTATGGAACCGTGATCTCAGCTGACAAATGGACAGGAGGATCCAGATCGGAATATCACCAACACTGGCCTCGCTCACCTACCACTGGATGGGAAGAGATTCCAGCACTTTAAAAAGTATATACATATAGAATCAACCCTGAAAAGGAGCTAAGTGTTCCTTATGCCGGGAGTATAAGCAACAAATAGGAGGGCAGCTAGCTAGCTGTGGAGGGGGTGCACTGGAGGGCAAATGTCCCATCTAAAGGGAGCATGTGCTATTCAACTCCAGTGCCCTGTCGATAGGCAGAAATAATGATTTAATATTGTCAGACCTTCTGATTTTCTTTTTTTAAAGAGAAGTTGAAAATTCAGAATTTGATGTGAAATCCGATTTTAAAAGCTGGACAGGTCTCAGACTAAGGACGCTGCGGTACCAAGCCCCAGAAGATCACAGGTCCCTGCATCCATCTCCCCGCAGCTAGTCCCTGCCCCACCCCACCCCCCATACAAGGGCGGTGGGCACACACACAGACTACCCTGGGCAGACAGAGCCAGCAGTGGGAACTGCTGCTAGTAATCACGGTCTCAGGCATCATTTTGTCTCTGCCAGGTTCAGGGTGAAGGGCTTACATTCATGAGGTGCCTGCACCACCTGCCATGTGTTAGGCAGGCCCTCATTTACTCAGCATAACTCTAAGAAGGAGGTAGAATATTCCTATTTTATTGGCACTGAGAGGTTAAGAGTCTTGGGGTGACAAACCTAGTCCAGTGACCAGCGAGTGGGGTTTGTTGCTCAGGACTGGGTGTCTGGAGGGCGGGGCAGGGGACAGGGAGCTGACCACGGAGGTGGGGAAGGAACTGGCGGCAGAGGCAAAGCTGGGGCGGGAGGCCGTGCACAGGCTAGGTGGTCTGGGGAGGGGAGGACACAGGCTGCCGAGGGGAACACAGCTGGGGGTGGAGCTGAGGGTGGGGACTCGCTAACCCCCACAGGGTTGCAGTAACTTTCACCTTCTTGCCTGTAACACTATCAGGATAAATTGGTACTCCGTCCAGGGCCGGATACAGACCCAAAAATGTAAACCATCCCGATAATTTCTCATCACCCCCCCCCC